GTTGACTCATTGGAAAAGACCCTGATGCTGGGAAGGATTGGGGGCAGGAGGAGAAGGGGATGACAGAGGATGAGATGGCTGGATGGCGTTACCGACTCGATGGGCATAAGTTTGAGTAAACTCCGGGAGTTTGTGATGGATAGGGAGGCCTGGTGTGCTGTGATTCATGAGGTTGCAAAGAGTCGGACACGACTGAGAGACTGAACTGAACTGAATTGAGTCTATGTGAGGAGTATGTGCTTATTCACTACATTATTTCTACATTTCTATAGGTTTGAAATTTTTCAAAATAAAAAGTTGGACAAAACTAAAGACATCAAGGGAATTCCCTGGTGGTCCAGTGGCTTAGGACTCCGTGCTTTGACTGGCAAGGGTGCAGATTCAAACCCTGATCATGGAACTAAGATCTCACAAGTCATGTGGCCTGGCCAAAACTCCCCCCCAAAAAACAATAATAATAATAAAAAAAACAAAGACATCAACCCCAACAAAAAATTTTAAAAGTAGTACTTATATTTGAAAAAAGATTTTCTATTCTAAAGAGTTAGTGGGCTGTGGAATTCTACAAATGAATAGAACTCATGATATAAAATATATAAAATATATAAATTTAGCATATAAATTTACCATTATCAGAAAATAAGGAAACCTTAGCCATGGCTTTATGGCTGTTGTGTCAGGTGTGCTGATGCCTTGCTTGAGTCCAGACATCATATCTATGGACTAACGTCCCAGTTTTCTGATCCTGTCTGTCTTCAAACTATTGGGGGCTTGGCTGAAGCCTCATGTGTAAGGCCTTCCCAGGATGGAAGAGATGGGGAGCGCCTCCTAGTGGGCCTGCTGGTCACTCACCAGGAACTCAGATCCCCTGTTTATCTTTTTAATTTTACTTTGGGAACAAAAAGGTCACAACTAAAGTGTAAACAAAAATCTAGTGAACTAGATCTCTTTAACGAAATCAAGATTTTAAGCATGTGGAAAATACTCATTTACGTGCAAACAATTGGAGGGTTGATAATAGATAAAAGAGACTTATAATTAGACATTTCCCAATGACAATAATAAAACGGCAAACTTTCAAAGTATCTTCAGCAATTTAGAAACTAATATTTGAATTTAAGTCCACTCAATAAGCCATGTGAAAAATATAAATACCATAGACCCTTGAGTAGTAAGTTGTATTGTTACTATAAAATAAAGTTTTTTTTTTTTTTTTAAATTACATATATTTTCACAGGATAATGAAAAGGCAAAGATAAATATACAGAGAAAATAAATTTTTTTGTTTTTTAAATTTTTTGTCCATGCTGCAGAGCATGTGGGATCTTAGCTACCCAACCAGGGATCAAACTTGAACCTCCTGCAGCAGAATCTGCATACACATCTTTAAATTGGACTTAATGTTCATTTGTTTCCAAAACAGTGAGTCACAGAAATATGGAAACACTAAGTAAGAATAAGAAATGAGAATTATTCAGAAGATTCAGGGCTCATTTGGATGTAGCTTGCTATTTCCTTTATGATAAACTCCCCGACAGGTGAATATTCTGAGTTCTTGTACCCAAGGTTTATAGTTTTGTTTTACTATTTCTTACTTTGCTTTCAGCACTCACTTCTCCCTGATTAAGGAAAGTCCAACTGCAACAAATCTTCCCCGGCCCCTCTAACCGGCTACATTTAATCTGTCATTGGCTGGCTAATCTAGGGTGCTCAGAAAATTTCCTCTGCTCTTATTTCCACATAATGAGAATTTGGTTCACAAGCCAGAAAAACCCTCCGAACAGTGCTCTGGGGTGTATGTGCCGTTACCACCTAGACAGACTTGCCGTCCACTACAGCAGCCACCAGTAGTAACACGTGGCTGGTGCAAGCAAGGAACTGAACTGAAATTTCAAATTGCATATGTGGCTCATACTTTATTTCTGTTGGGTAGCACTGACTTAATTCACTTAAAAAATTTTTTTCCTGATTTTGAACTGTATTCTGAATAGAGAAGTGAAAGCTAAGCGACCGTCAAATGCATGTAATATTACATTTACATGTGCTAGCGACATGTACCATGGCTGATAAAGTTCCAAATGTTACAGGTGTTGGAAACTGAGTGACTCAAACCCTTTCAGTTCAATTGCTCAGTCGTGTCCGATCTTTGCGACCCCATGGACTGCAGCATGCCAGGCTTCCCTGTCCATCACCAACTCCCGGAGCTTACTCAAACTCATGTCTGTTGAGTCAGTGATGCCATCCAACCACCCCATCCTCTGTCAACCCCTTCTCCTCCTGCCTTCAATTTTTCCCAGCATCAGGATCTTTTCCAGTTAGTCAGTTCTTCACAGCAGGTGGCCAAAGTATTGGAGTTTCAGCTTCAGCATCAGTCCTTCCAATGAATATTCAGGACTGATTTCCTTTAGGATTGACTAGTTTGATCTCCCTGCAGTCCAAGGGACTCTGAAGAGTCTTCTCTACCACCACAGTTCAAAGGCATCAATTCTTTGGCACTCAGCTTTCTTTGTAGTCCAAATCTTTTACAAGGTCACAAAACATGACCTTGAAGCTACTAGACCATCAGCTCTTCAGTGGTGAGGACACTTTCTGCTGTGGCTCTTTATCTGCCCCAAAACCCAGCATGACTTACACACGATGGATGCTCAAAGATATTTGTTGATGGATTTGTAATTCATTGGATGGATTTCATTAATTTAATCCATTAATTCATTAATAGATTTTAGTTCATTTGTACCAGAGACATGGAGAAAAAGTCACTGGTGCCAGCCTCAAATAAAAAGTACTAAAAAAGGAAATTTTATCAATATTACTGAAATTAGGATGTTTTCCCATACAGGGAAATTTTAGAAGGAAATAAGTAGGAAGTAAGCACTCCTGTTCCTCGACACTTCAAACAGCTGTTAAAATCACAATATTGCTGCAAGTTCTGAAATAACATTCTTACTTAAACTACATACTGGAAAGATGAGCTATTTTACTTGGTGTCTGCAGAGAATTTAGGAAGTTTAAGGAATAAAAACTACAGCTGCTGCCATCCATACCTGTTTCCAGGCGGGGCGCACAGTTCCAAATAGTACTTGATCTTGGGCTCTGTCCCACTGGTCCGCATGGTGGCCACGCCTCCGTTAGCAAAGCTAAAGGTGATCATCTGGCTGCTTTTACTAGTCGGGAGAATCTAGGAATTAATTTTCATGTTATAAGTTTATTAGTAAGTAGCAACATAAGTTGTTTTTCACCTAACTGATATTTTCCCCCGAATAAGCAAGAAAGTAAATGCAAAAAAAAGAAGAACACATTTGAGGAAGTCAGAAAATGTATTCGGTATAAATGAAATAAATAATAATAAGGCAATTTGTGAAAATAAAGTAACTTTGTAGACTACTTTTTACCTCTGTAGTTTTATTAAAGCTACTAAAAGTTTTTCTAAGACCGAAACACACCCTTTCTGAAGAAATTGCTTTAAACTGATTAATAATGCATTACAAAACCCCACAGAACAGTGAAATAGTCTTATTTCACTTTCAAAAGCTTCTGGTATATGTATCATGGCTGACTGCTCTTCAAACTCTACTAAAGTGACCGAAGTATTAAAACAAAAAAGCATGCAAGGGCAAAGAAGAAGCAGCTGTTGAGGGGTTTGCCAACCAATCGTGGCAATCAGAAACCAGATGAAGGGTGGAAGGGACCTGCTGGGACGCAGGATAATGACCAGGGAGCGCCTACAACAGGCAGACCAGAACCGAGGCAGGATGCTCTGCAGAGCCCGCGCAAAGCTCCCTGACCGGGCACCAGGTACTGCAAAGGGCAGGCATGAGGCAAAGAGAGACAAAGGCAGCAGCTGAAAGGAGGTATTGGATCCTCCCGCATCCTCAACTTCTGCCCACGTGGCCAAGCAGCCACCTCATCAGGAGACAGCTTAGATCTCTGGTGTAACTGAAACAGAAGAGCTTAGAAGCTGGGGACACTGGGCATCACGGAAGGCAGGGCATGGAGAAAACTGAGAGGAAGTCAAGAGTCCCCACGTTGAACACTGGCACCCCTCCTCCCCGGTCCCGGGGACTTCTCCACCACTTCCAGGGACTCAGCATCCCAGCTTGTTAACCCTTAGGCAGGAGACTAGGGTGACAGTGAGGCATCCCCAGAAGACCTTGAAGGAAATAAAGACAATTCAGAGGAAGAAAGATCTACATTAAAAAAAAAAAAAGCTGTAATTATTATCCTTAACAGAGATAAGATATAATATACACGAAACAAGATATTACTTTTAATAGAGAAAAAGAGCTGAAATGTTCAAAGAAGCAGACATTTAATGTTGAGGTAATCTCCCCAAAAGTAGGAAAGGAAGACACAGACGGACAATGGGAAGAGAGAAACCTGGAAAGTAGAACATCACTCCAGGAGGGCCAGCGTCTAAGAACTTGTCAAGAAGGGGAGAACAGAAAATTCGAGGGAAAAGGTTATTTGGAAAACAACCATCCAGCCTCCTTCTTTGACAAAAATCAAGAGTTTCTTAGGACGGAAAGAAATGACTCCATAGGCCAACAAAGACCAATCAAGTGTCCAGAAAAATGAAAGAAAGGAGGTCTATACTAAAAGCTTATCACTGAAATTCTGAACCCAAGGTTTAATGGAATGTTCCTAATACTTTCCACAGAGGAAAAAAAATTGCACGGAAGGGACTGAATGAGCATGGCATCCTTATCCCTGGAGGCAGCGCATAGCAGGTCCCAACTATTTCCTGAACAAACGAATGATGGATGAGCCACAGCTTAACGAACATGGAGCAATGCTTTCAAAACTGTGAGTCAATAAAGTGTGAGGGTAGAGTAAGACATTTTCAGACCTAAACACCTCCGAAAATTTACCTCTATGCACATCTTCTTAGGAAGCTACTAGAAAATGTGATTTAGGAAGCTAATTATAAAAAGGGGTCCAGGAGCAAGGGATATAACCCCAGAGAGCAGTGAAGAGCATTCTCAGGATGACAGCTAGGCGTTCAACCCAGAGAGCAGTGGGCCCTCCCCGGAGAAAGGTGCCAGGAGGGAGGCCATTGGAAATAAGATGGAACCAACAGAAGCACAGAATCATTGGACTAGGTAGAAAATCCTACTGAGACCTATCTGAAGGATGTGGGAAGAACTGGTGAGGAATACAGAGAAATCCATGCAAATGAAAGAACAAAGCAGTTATTAATTACAGAAAAAATAATTCTTTATACAATGTAAGGGGAACCTAATCAAAGTACACTACTTAGTTAAGTAGAAAACAATAGTTACTAGTCATCATAATACACGCTTGGAATCTGATGTTGCCAAAACCTGTGGTACAAATGTACTGCAAGGACAGGGGAGAAGAGTTGTGAATGCTGCAAGTCTAAGAACTAAATCCCTATTTCCATCATGTTGTTAAGCCACTTCAGTAGTGTCCGACTCTTTGCGACCCTATGGACTATAGCCTGCCAGGCTCTTCTGTCCATGCGACTCTCTAGGCAAGAATACTGGAGTGGGTTGCCATTTCCTCCTCCAATCTCCATCATGGAAAATTAATAAAGCCTAACACTGAGAAGTCACATGAGCATGTTATTTAGAAATCTGGTGGTAAATACAAGAGAAGCAACGAAGAGGGAAGGCGGTTTTCCTGACACGTGGCAATGCAACGATAGGAGGTGGGGCTCCCAAGTCTCTTCATAACCCTTTGCTACTATTTGCCTTTTAAACACATACTGTGTGCAGATGCAAATGAAAAAATATAAAAAGGAGAATAGTAAAGCAAATGTCCAGCATCTCATAAGGATATTCTTACCCTTCTTCCCCTACCCACTGGCCATCGTTAGCAATACTATCTTCTGCCATATTTGTGCCTTCCTGTGACTCCAGTCGGGGACCCGCATGGTTGGAAGAACTTGAACTCATGTGCTATAGCTAACAACTCCCATGTGAATGAATGAATCAGGGTTAGTTGCTCAGTCATGTCCAACTCTATGCAGCCCCATGGACTATAGCCCGCCACACTCCTCTGTCCATGGGATTCTCCAAGCAAGTATTCTGGCGTGGCAAGCCATTCCTTTCTCCAGGGGGTCTTCCCGACCCAGGGATTGAACCTGGGTATCCTACACTGCAGGATTCTTCACCACCTGAGCCGCCAGGGAAGCCCCAATGACTCCCATGTAGTCAGAGAATAGGGTAAAACGAAGGAGGAGGCAAACAATAGCTCTCAAGGCTGGACGAGTGACATCAGCACCAGCAGGGCACGTATTACAAAGGCAAATAAGGGGGGAGCTGCGGCCTCAGTGTTTTCACCTGGCCACCAGGTGATTCTGATGTCTTTTCAAGTTCAACTGCTGAAAGAGAGGAAAACCCGCATTTGCAGTCAGAAGACCCAGAATCTACCCAGAGCATCACCAATGAGCTTCTAACCACAGGCAGGTCTTACGCTTCTGAGTAGAGTCATCCCTCGGCACCCATGGAGGACGGGTGCCAGGAGCCCCTGCAGATACCAAAATCCACGGATGCTTAAGTCCATCATATACACCAGTGTAGTAAGCTGACCCTTGGTGTTTATGGTGTGAAACCCTAAGATACCGAGAGCCGACTGTATAAATTTCCTGCTGTGTTAAAAGATGGCATGGGCTGAGAAGATCAGTGAGAATCCCTGTAGTTTTAGCTCATGTTTTTAAATTATCTCTATATTTTAATAGCTTATTTATAAAAAAGCCTAAAATCAGCTTCAATTAATTATATGATTAAATAGGTTGAGCTATTCAAAGCACAGTGAAAAAGTAAATAGAAAAGACTTAACTGATAAAAAACATTACTTACAGCTTTTTTATCAGGTTCATTATCATCATAGCCAGTTGTAAGGTCCCTAATGTGAGAAATCTCAAATCTGCCACAAGTTTTTGGATAATTACTCTTCCCATCATAGTTTCTAAGGTTTTCAAATAATTGTTTAATAGTTTCTTGATCATGGCAGATAAAATACGAAGCTCTGGTGATATGGTAGCCATACCTATCAAAACAAACACAGTTACATTCAAATGAGGAACAAATAATTGTGCCCAGTGTCCACTGAACATGTATCTATCAAACAGTATGTTCTAAACAAACAACCACAACTAATATCAAAGGAATAATTCAGCACTAAATAAAGAGGTCCAACAAGCTACCCCAGGAATCACTGCCCTGCTGTGTGGCCCTCAGTCTCTATTTGTAAGTAAAAGTTTTATCACTGGAATACAGCCACACCACTCCCATTACCTTATGTCTGGTAGCTTTTGCACTAGAAAGGCAGAATTAAGTAAGTGCTACAAAGACTAAACTAGATGTTTAATGAACACATTTAGTCTTTTTCAACACTGGACATTTAAAAAATCACATCCTTCCCTTAGCCATGTCTGCAACTAACATTCTCATTTATTAAGGATTAACATCATCACAAATGGTAATTACTATTAACTGCTTAAGTAGTAAAGGGAAAGGTGATCTCTTATTTAGCTTTCATAAGAAATATAATTCATAACTAAAGCAAGAGCATCAGGAAGAATATGAGTATCCCATGCACAAGAAGAGAGTAAAACATTAAAAAATGTTTCTGTGTGGGGATGCATGTTAATTGCATCTGCTGTGATCATTTCACAACATAGACATATACTGAATCACTGTGTTGTACACCTGAACTGATTAAAAAAAGATTACTTCATTTAAATAGTCAATAGAAACTTACTCAACATAGATGGCTTTCAGCTGCTGAGACAAAGACAAATTCTTGGTTGCTAGAAAGCTGGCCAACTCTGCAGTTATGACGGCCGCGCTGACTCCATCTTTGTCCAGCACGAAAGGGCAGCACATATATCCTGCAGAAACACGAGTCATACACACATCCTAAGGAGTGGGTCCTTTTACACGCTGCACATACACACGTCTATATGCATCCTGCCTATTGCATGAGAGGTTGTCCAGGATGTAAATGATTCTCATTCACCATCACTGTATTTAAGAATCTAGCCCAGTGCCTAGCAGGTCTTCAAGAAGTATTTGTTGAGTACGAACTACTATGTATAAAATAAATGATACATAAGGATGCATTGTAGAATACAAGGAGTATAGCCAATATTTTATAATAACTATAAATGAAGTATAGTCTATAAAAATATTGACTATGCTGTAAACCTGAAACTAATATAACATAGATGCGCTCACATGCTCAGTTGTGTCCAACTCTTTGCAACCGCATGGACTGTATTCCTCAAGGCTTATCTATTCATGGGATTCTCCAGGCAAGAATACTAGAGTGGGCTGCCATGCCCTCCAGGGGATCTATTCAACCCAGGGATCGAGCCCTCCTCTCTGAGGTCTCCTGCATTGGCAGGCAGGTTCTTTACCANCTTTCATCAAGAGGCTCTTTAGTTCTTCTTTGCTTTCTGCTCTAAGTGTGGTGTCATCTGCACATCTGAGGTTATTGATATTTCTCCCGGCAATCTTGATTCCAGCTTGTGCTTCATCCAGCCCATCATTTCTCATGATTTATACTCTGCATATAAGTTAAATAAGCAGGGAAGCCCTCAACTATGCCTTAATTAAAAAAAAAAAGGAACAAAGAGAGGAAGTATTTGTTGAATAACCTGTAAGGAGAGTCTCCCTTCTAGACAAATTGTCCTCATTTTTCAGGTCTAGCCCCTCAGCTCACACAAAATTGTTTCTAATTGCTCGAATTGATGCTTATTCTGTCTTCTCCGAATTCCCATAGTTTTTGCCAGTACATGATTCACCTTGACAGTGAGCCTATACTCTTGTGTGTGGTTACTAACCTCACCTATATAAACTAATGTAGGCTAACATCAGTTCATCCATTTCCTTCAGAGTCAGTGTGTAATTGATAAGCAACACATATTTGGTAAACAAATTTTTGGGCTTCTCAGGTAGCACCAGTGGTAAAGAAATCACCTGCTAATGCAGAAGACAAGAGATGAAGGTTCAATCCCTAGGTCAGGAAGATCCCCTGGAGGAGGGCATGACAACCCACTCCGGTATTCTTGCCTAGAGGATCCCATGGACAGAAGAGCCTGGTGGGCTATGGTCCATATGGTTGCAAAGAGTTGTACATGAATGAAGCAACTTAGCATACACATAGTAACTTTTACTAAATAAACAGCTAAAATATCCCTGGCACAAACATTTGCATTTCAAGTTTCTATTGCTAGCTCTCCTTTTTGCTTATTTATAGTGATTATTTAAGACAAGTGTTTTCCCATCATCCTGGCTGGTTCTTTCAGGTGGTAATCACTCTGATGGAAGTCCTACAACTGTGGCTTCTCCTTTCTTCTGGACAGATCTCTGCAGGGCACTCTCTGACCGACAGTGAACTATATGTGGCCTAGACATCAACACCACAGTGAGGAAATACCACAGTTCCCCAAGTAGGAGGACGTTCTTAAGCTACTACAGCCGAGCACAAAACATCACTCTTCACAGGCATCAGGGGAGAGGATTCACTTCCTCACATGAATGGCTTGATTATTTGTGAGATATTGTTTTCAGCTAAAAAAAAAAAATCTGTGACACCAACTCCCGGGTTGAACAGTTCAGCATTTGCAGAGGGTCACAGAAGAAAAGCAAACGGCGTGCTTCTGTTTCAGTGTTAATCTTTGAACCCAAATCCAAATCTTTGCCCATTTATTTGCATTCTATAAATTGACTGATCATGTGACCATGCTGCTCAACTCTTACCAATAGCTTCTTCAAATGCAAATAAGACATTTTTCCCCTGGTCTATCAGCTGTTTGGCTCGATTTCCCATCCACTTGAAGCCAGTTAATGTTTCCTAGAAGGACAATCCAAGAGAGAAAGAAATGCCTGAGACTTTCTCCAGAGCAGAAGAAAGGGGAAGGGGCAAGTCTCACAAACACTGTACCTCGAAGTGAAAACCTTCCTTCAAGGCGATGGCTCGCAGGATTTTGGAAGAGACGGTGCTGGACAACATGTATAAGTTTTGGAGGGCGCTGTGATCTTGGTTCTTTTCTTTCCAAGAAGTAAAGAGCCACCAGCCCAGGAGGGCCCCCAGCTCATTGCCTGAAAACACTTTCCATTTGCCGCTGAAAGAAAAAACCACCTATGCGTGACAGTAATCTTTAGAGAGTGCTTAACTGTAAGTGACCAATAAGGACAGAACAATTAAGCCAAACAAGGCTCCAAGCGGCCCCTGCAAGACTGTTCTCACTATTCTTGCTTGTTGTTGTTCTCATTATTCTTGTTTATGTAACAGAAGTGTGGCTACCACTGCACAAACATCTGAGCAGCTACCATGTCTCAGCCAGTTTGCCTAGACAAACATCCTATCTTTGAAAACGGCAAGTATGTCAACGATGACACAGAAATGCTTTTATCTCAGTCTTCGGCAAAGGCTTTGGTTTTAAATATAACAGATATATGCTGGCAAGATGCCCCACCCCCCAAGTATAATAGCTTATATATTTCAACTTTTTTGCTCAGCCCTGCTGATTCTGAGAGACAGCTTAACATTCCTTAAGATTCAGCACAGTACTCACACAGTCTGGACACCAGAGAACCGGCTTGCGACTGTCCCTTTGTGAAGTCAAGGTGGTTACAAGCATACCTCACATTTGATCATGTAGCGCCTCAGCTTAAATTTCTGAAAACTGACACAGAATCGAACCTGTTCTGTCATAACTGAAAGTTCTGACCCTTTGGCAGCACCAAACTGTCCCCCAAGCATCACACATGCTGTTTGACCTGCAAAACTGCTTGGAGGCTGCATGCCTTTCAACTTTCCTCCTTATCCATCACTCTCTGTACAAACTCCACAGTCACACTTATCTCAAGCGTTGCAGCATCCACAGGCATGCTCTCTGGTCTGCTCAACATAAATTCAACATGGCATTGAAGGTCTGGCTCCTCAGCAAACCTTTGCCAAATGCTGAACTTTAAAGCCAGCACCAAACAAAGTAGTTTGCCCTCATTAGGCACTGAGTCATTAATTATGATAAAAGTAATGATAAAGGGGGGATGGTAACAAATAGTAAGTTCAATACCAAAGTTCAATACCAATATACACTGGGCTGGTTGACCCGCCATTATGCTTGCTGAACCTGTGGCCCCTGGACCAGTTCTTGCTCTATGTCAGAGGATCTGACAGAGGTTCAGTGAGATGATCATTTGCAAGATAAATGGGAAACATTTCCAAATACATCCGGTCTCTCCAGAAACATCTGACTGATACTATATCACACATTATGCAGGTAATCACAATTCATTGTACCTTTCTTGCTTTTCTGCCACAGCAAGTCTATCAGCATCTGGGTCATTTGCTAAAATGATTCTGGCCTTGGTTTTGTCAGCCAAAGCAAAAGACAAAGTCTGAAAAAGAGAGAGAAAGAAGACAAAAAGATCACTCCAACCAAGAACTGAGCACACTACAGTCTTTAAAAATATTCAGTTCTCTAAGAACTAAAAGAGGTCTTTTCCCAAACCAAGACTGAATCCTATTTCTGGAACTGGTCTTGGTTGGTCACACACCACTTCCTAAGTCAGAGGTCAGATAGCGAGAGCATCAATGCACGATCCACGTGTGCCAGTGGGACTCTCCCAACATCTGACTGTGTTTGTGGCTGGATTGGCTATTTCCAAGCCTGGCCTTGTGATCAACCTCACAGACAAACCAAAACTGACTCTCTGAGTATAACTGTTACCCTAACCTATAAAAAGTTTAAGTGGGGGCTTCTTTGATGGTCCAGCAGCTAAGACTCTGTGCCCCCAGTGCAGGGGGCCTGGTTCAATCACTGGTCAGGGAACCAGATCCCACACACTGCAACTAAGATCTGGCGCAGCCAAGTAGACAAATACTAAAAAAAAAATAAAAAGGTTAAAGGAACCATAATTTAAATAGCATTTTTTCATATCAGAAAAATGTCAACTGAGAAATAAAAATTGTGTTATTTCTGGAACTGGTCTTGGTTGGTCACACACCACTTCCTAAGTCAGAGGTCAGATAGCGAGAGCATCAATGCACGATCCACGTGTGCCAGTGGACTCACCCAACATCTGACTGTGTTTGTGGCTGGATTGGCTATTTCCAAGCCTGGCCCTGTGATCAACCTCACAGACAAACCAAAATTGACTCTCTGAGTATAACTGTTACCCTAACCTATAAAAAGTTTAAGTGGGGGCTTCTTTGATGGTCCAGCAGCTAAGATTCTGTGCCCCCACTGCAGGGGGCCTGGTTCAATCACTGGTCAGGGAACCAGATCCCACACACTGCAACTAAGATCTGGCGCAGCCAAGTAGATAAATACTAAAAAAAAAATAAAAAGGTTAAAGGAACCATAATTTAAATAGCATTTTTTCATATCAGAAAAATGTCAACTGAGAAATAAAAATTGTGTGATAAACCTCCATTCTATTATTGGTTCTTGTTGGCATTAAGAAGCATAGCAAATTAAATGAAATTAAATTAATTAAATTGAATGTAAAGCATCATTTTAAATTTGCGAGCAATTTCAGCTTTCACATCCTGAAGTTTAAGACATCTGATTTGAAAGTTCCTTTAAGAAATGGATGACTAATAAATATAAATATTTCCAATGACGAAATCACATTTTTGTTTGGCACAATGAAAACGCAAAAAAACTTATTATACTCCAAAGTAACAGTTTTGAATTATGTTCAAGATAAATTTTATAATTAAAAAACAGTCAAGTTACCAAGACACCTTCACCCTCTTCGGGATTCGGGTATTTCACTGTTGGGAACTCAGGATCAGGGTCCTTTTGTTCAGGAACAGCCTCGGGAGGAATCAAGTCGAATGCCTTGAAAGCCGACTGCACGAAGCTGTGACCCACACCATGGACAGAGGTGTGCACAAACTTCACCTTGGTCTCCTTGTTCACAGCCCTACAACAGGCATGTGGAGAATGAGAAGATTCACAAACATGGCTCTCAAAACAAAAGGTTTGCAAAACACCAAGGGACCAGGTACCTAAGAACATCAGGTTTCAAAATAATAAGAATGTGTAAGACAACTGAGTATCTTTCAAAATTCTATTTAAAAAAAAAAAAGAAAGAAAGCTTTTACACTCTCTTCCAAACACACACCCTCCCACAACACACTGTTTTAAATTCACTCTGTAGTTACTTCCTGCAAATCTGATTCCTTCTGGATTTTGTTTCATGCTACAAGCTTCACACCTGCAGTGGGTTCCAAGAGGGACCCCCGCTGGCCCGTGGCAGCACCTACCCACAGCAGCGCAAGCTCCAGGGCTTCAACCATTCTCTGCCATCTTCACATATGAGTTTCAAAACGTCCCTTTGAACACAACGTGATGGAACTTCCCATATGCAGATGCATAACAAATTAAACATTTTCTTTGTCAAGTAACAAGCCTATTTAGCAAAGTGCTCTGATTGAGGGACTTAATGTAGAATAAAAATAACATCAAAATTAACAGCAGACATTATAGAAAATGTAAATACAAAGTGTTAAAAAATTCCAGCGATCTGACTGCTAGGTTCTAAGGTAGTGTGCACTTCTTTTGGCAATGAGTAAATGAACAAGGTCTTCCTTAAGACAACAGTAGTTTAAAACAAACATATCTTTGAAAATAAATACATCTAGAAAAATAAATATGCAAGATTAGTGAGAACAAATCTGGAAAAGATAGAATTCAGAAGTTGATCCAACTTGAATTGAAAAATATATGAGAAGCAGTAAGGCTTAGTGGTTAACATGAGTTGGAGACAGATTCTAAATTTAAATCCTGGAGATCTGCTACTTTTATTCGGCTGCCCTGGGTCTTAGTTGTAACACGCAGGATCTTCAATCTTTGTCGCAGCACGCGAGATCTTTAGTTGTGGCATGTGGGATCTATTTCCCTGACCAGAGATCAAACCCAGGCCCCCTGCATTGGGAGCATGAAGTCTTAGCCACTGGACCACTAGGAAAGTCCCTAGAGCTCTGCCACTTCTAAGCTGTGTGACTGTTGCTTATTTTCTGTGACATCTCTGAGTTACAGTTTTCTCATCTATAAAATGGCAATATATCAGAACCTGCCCTCAGCATTACTGTGATGATTAAAATGAGATGAATTAATTAGTACAGAGGAAGGGAATATAGCAGTTATCTGATAGATAACAGCACTTAAATCATGTTAGAAATTGTCTGATTAAAGGTGATATTTCCAATTAGTCAAAGAAAAATAGATTCTTCAGTTTAATATGTTAGTACAATTACACTTTGTAGAAAGAATTTAATCTGCTTTCCTACTATATGCCTCATACAAAATTAAACATAACTAAGAATTCAAAAGCTTTAAACGTTGCAAAATGTAGACTTCCCTGGAATACAGTGGTTAGGACTCTGTGCTTCCACTGCAGGGGACACAGGTCTGATCCCTGGCTGGGGAACTAAAATCTCACATGTCATGTGGCATGGCCAAGAACAAAACAAAACATGGCAAAATGTAAACATGAAAGCTTTAAAGTAAAACAAGAGTTGTGCTTTTTTAAAAATAATCTTGGTATAGTGAAATCTTTTTAAGTATGGCACAAAACCCAGAAATTGGCAATTAAAAGTTTCAATGAAAAAATCCAAAGGTAAGAACAGAAGGGAAAAGAATATTCGAAATAAACAAAGACTAGTTTTTCTGTATAAGCAAAGAGGTTTCACAAATGCAAAAAAAAGAGCAAATACTTAGAAAAATATAGGTTAAATAAAGATAAAAATATTCATAAATAAAAAATGTAAATAAAGTTAGGCATTGCTTTCATGTAGCAAACTGGGAAAGAGGAGAAACTTCATATACTCAGTGTAGGTAAGAATGTGTGTGGATCATATACTGTTATCATGTTCTGTTGGTGGGAACCTCAGCTAGTATAACATTTCTAAGAGCAATTTTTTAATCGTTGTTAACTTTATAAATGTATATATAATTCTGATGCCTGCACAGTATCTTTTTTTTGGCCCCACACATCTTGTGGTATCTCAGTTCCCCAACCAAGAATCAATCCCCTGCTCTCCGTAGTGGAAGCGCACAGTTCTAACCACCACCAAGACCATCAGGGAATTCCATCTACTATGCATTTTTTTGAATACTCTTATACACACACCCCCCAAAACTCAAGGAACCGTGCTTAAAGTTGCTGACTCTGGTGCTACTTGGTGAATAGCAGAAAACCAGAAACCCTTAGTCTTTATGATGTTCAGTAAGAGGGACAGAAGGATGCACAGATGAGTTGTGTTTGGATTACAGACCATTTTTTAATGGTCCCCAACATTTAAAAATTAGAGAATTTCATATACAAAAATCTAGGTTTCCAGCTTTTCTTAGGAGAAAAAAATCAGGTAACTGGTAATGCGGGATCTATGTTTGCGCATGGTAACACCAATGGCATGGCAGCTCCCTTCAGGTGGGGTGGGGCTTCCACATTCCATATAGGAGCTGCCACTCCCAGACGGTCCAGCAAATACAATACTAGAGACAACCCTGAAGTTCTGCTGCTTAACCATCAGTGGTTTCTTGCTAAGGGGACAATCAGGAGTGATGGGACCCTCGGCATACTAGGGCAGGACAACCCTTCACTCAGCTCCCTGCTTCGGATCCGTGAGCATCACATCTGTGTCACGGGGTTAAACAGACTGGTACAGCCGCCATTAAAACAAAAGGGTCAGGACTAACGGGGGCTAATACGGAAAGGTATCCATGACAAATTAACCAGAGGGGAAAAGGCAGAGAACAAGACACATGCACTCTATATTCTTAGTTACGATTTTGAAATACTAATCATATATATGTTTATATATGAAACGGAAATTTCTGGGAAGATAAAAAAAGTCAATATTTTCTATTTGATACCTTCCAACAAGCTTTTTTTCACATGCATATATAAAAGTATGCACATATACACACACATATGTACATACATATATATATATTATACACACACACACACACCCCCCACCCCCCACATACATGGCTTTCCTGGTGGCTCAGACAGTAAAGTGTCTGCCTGCAATTCAGAAGACCCAGGTTCAATCCCTAGGTCGGGAAGATCCCCTGGAGAAGGAAATGGAAACCCACTCCAGGATTCTTGCCTGCAAAATCCCATGGACAGAGGAGCCTGGTAGGCTACAGTCTACAGGGTTGCAAAGAGCTGGACATGACTGAGCGACTTCACTTTCTTTCTTTACACACACACATATATATATGAATCTACAACAGAGGTGAGCAAACCATAGCCTGTGGGCCGGCCACCTGCTTCTACAGTCAAAGGATCCACCACTGAGCTATACCCCTGAAACCCACTTTTATAAACATTTTTTTTAACACAGCTATGTTTGTGTTCATTCATTTCCGTGTTGTCTATGGCTGCTTTCCTGCAACCTCAGAGTTGGGTAATTGAGCAACATAGTGGCTCACCGAGCCAAAAGTATTCACTATCTTTTTAAGAAAAGTTGCCAACCCCTCATCTACAGCCTCTTAAGTCAGATGCAATAACAGTATATGTAGCATAGAATACCAGTTGAGGACAAAAATGTAATGAAAACATAATTTGGTTGAATCACATTAATTTAACTCACTTGAGGTGAGTTTCCAAACCATTTACCTGTGAAAACAGTATTTTTTAAGGTCTTCAAAATAGTCTTTATTGATGGAAGCGCTTGGGTCGTGAAGGAGCAGACTGCCATTGAGTACAGAATCATCCCAGGCTTGAGGCCATGGTTCTAGGTTTTCTTCAATAGCCTGTGAAATCCCTTTATCGTGAGGAGAGATGATCTGCGCTCCATTATCCCAATAGACCTGGAGAACATGGGAACATATCCAGATGGTTTAGAGTTCATCCATTCCCTGTGCTCCCAAGGCACAGACTTCAGATTGAAGGACGTAAGTATGAAGAGAGAAATAAAAATACCTTATAACCATTATCCTGCTTTGGATTGTGAGAGGCAGTTATCATGATTCCAGCACAAAGCTTCAAATGTGATACTGTGTAGGGCTGTAATATAGTGGGAAACAAGAACAATTTGAAGCAAAAAAATTAGATATATTTAAAAGGTCTATCATCCATTGTTTGTACCATTTTCCATTTAATAAACATAACATAGAAATATCATGACATGTCATAAAACATTTGTGTGCCCCACCCAAGCAGTATAGTCTGATTGCCCTTAAAACTAATTCACTGCTCAAAATTCTGCGATGTGCACCCTAAGTAAGAAAGGCGAGTATTCTCCTGTGTATCTTTTTACCCTATCTTCTCCTTGGTGACAGCAGAAAATTCTTTACACAGTATGATGCTCTGACTCTCCACTGCACATTCTTTTAAGCCTTCTGCTTAGGAAGGATGCTTATGGCTTCAGTTTATTCTCTCCATCTGCATCCTCTGCTTTTCTTTCCCTGATTTGCTTTTAGTAAAAGGTTAAGGGAAATGTGGACAACGTGGAGAGAGCTCTCAGAGCTTGCATTTATCTCCCACTCCGGGGCTGACTGTCCCGCTCTTGTATTTCTACATAGCTCCCATCCTTATAAGACTACTTCCCCAAATGGGGAGAGGATTCCCCATGGCTACACCTGAGGCTTACTCTACGCAGGGAGCCTGAAATTCTACCCGTCTGTCCCCTTCCATCCTCCCATCAAAAATCACTATGGTCACTTGTCCCTCTAGGAGCTATCTCACACCCAGGTGTCCTGGAGCAAAGAAAAAGGGAGAATTACTCCACTACTTGGGCCAGTGATCATGAAACACTTAGTTAATTCATGTCAGATATAAAAACAATTGCTACCAACATTAATACAGCACAGAAGACCAAGGATGCCTGAACACACTGCAGTTTTTCCATCAGACAGTAAGACCTGAGCCACATCTGGATGTGACATTGAGCATCTACTGGGATATTTACCAGCTAGGAGGAGCTGCACTTACCTGTTAGTGCACTGGAGACAGTAAACGCAAAGCTGGTGGGGATCACTTCTGTATTTACACACTCTCATTTCTACTTGACGGAAGTAAGTGCATTCGAATCACGTTTTTGCTTCAACTTCTAAAAACATATATTCTGAGCATCTGGCCCTACTCTTAAAAGCTTGTTCTACTTAAAAGGAACAGCTGTCATAGCACCTATTATCTTTCTCTTTAGATTCTGTTACAATAGGAATTTGATAAAAATCTTAGTAAAACATGCCAAGCATGCTTCTGGTACTGCCTATGAACAGGATTTAGAGCGAAACACTCATATATGAAAGTTGGTACACCAACTTGTCAAAAATGTCATGGTAAGACATGGTTTGAGGTGAATTCAGATTTGGATTCAGACATTTCCTAATTGCGGTAGCTGAGAAAAAGAATACAAACCAAATTAAAAAGCAAAAAGACAAACAAAACAAAAGACATTCTGTTAACCGGCTAAAATATCTTCTGAATGCAAGCAAAAGAAAAAATGCATTAAAAAAAAAAAGAAATCAATTCTGATGAATCAAAAGTTGAACACCAGAGAAATATTACTAGGGTGTGGGAGGAACATTCCTGGAGAGGAGTTCCTGATAAAAGGCAAGGAGCCCTTCTGTCTTTCAAACAACTGAATCCTAAGAGTGCTAAAGAGCACTGGCCATGTCCCACCCCTGATCCTGGGACAGGAAATTATAAAAGCAAACACTTACCACAAAAGGGGTTGGGGTTATATCAGAAAAGAGGTACACAGGAATCCCCTGGCTGATGAACGTGGTTGCAGCAAGTCGGGCAAATCTGGAAATGCAGAGTGACCAGGGAGAAAAGGAGAGGAGAGCTGTCAGGAGAGCAGGTGGCAACAGAGAAGAAAATGAAGGTCCAACCATTTATTTTTTTATTTATTTGACCACCCCAGGTCTCAGTTGCAGCACTTGAGATCTTTAGATGCAGCATGCAAGCTCTTGGTGGTGGCATGTGGGATCTAGTTCCCTGATCTGGGATCAAACCCGGATCGCCTGCATTGGGAGCATGGAGTCTAGCCAGGGGACCAGCAGGGAAGTCCCCCAACCGTTTCTTTAGACTGAGAACAGCAGCCATGTCGATGAAAACCTTAATTATACCCTGCTGGCGGAGAACATTAAGGCTGGAGGAACCTAAGGAGTCATTTCATTCCACCCCTTTGTTTAAGAGAAATGGGACCAAAGTTGAGAAAGGCCAGATGACCTGTCCCAGGTCCACCGGGCACACAGCAGCTAAGCCAGGCTGCAGCCAAGTCTCTCAGCTCTCTCCCATCTCAGCGGGTCTCAGCCAAGGGCCTTGCTGCTCCCACAGGACACCTGAATCGTCTAGAGACAATTTTGGTTGTCACCGGGGTAGGGTGCTGGTGGCAGCTGGTGGATGGAGGCCAGGGATGCTGCTAAGCATCCCACCAGGCACAGGGCACTGCCTACAGTGAAGAGTTATCTGGCCCTGTACCAAGTCGCATGGCACCAGGCAGAACGGAGAAATCTCTAGCTACAGCTGTCACTACCCAGGACATGCCATGAAGACTAGTATTTGGTTCAATGTCGTCCTCTTCAAAACACATGGCACGCTGTCATGAGTGTGAGATGTATGTGGGATACACATCTGTATATGATACACATATATCTTGGCTCCTTTCAGCACTTAAAAGATGACAAATTTTTGACACTTCGACATATTTCTCAAGTTCCACAGCATCTGGCTAGGGCAGGACACAAAACAAGGCATCAAGTCTTTCTTCGTGCTTGGAGTAAAGTATTTCATCACAATCAACAATCTACTTCCAATGAACAACATTACACTGTTAGAGGATTAACAAAGTATTTGATCATTCTCTCAAACATTTCTTGAGCACTAAACTGAATGGAAGACTATTTTGGGAGCTGGCTGGGGCAAAAACAGCAGATCTTTAACAACTCAGGCATTAAAATTCCTAGAATTAAGAGTAATACAAAAATGATTTTGACAATTAAAAAAATGCCCCTATAAAGGAGAAAGTAAAAAAAACAACAAATTTTAGCAAAAATAATTTAAATAAAAACCTGAATTAGATATATGCTGCATTCACTAGAAGGTACAGAAGTCACTTTCACAACCTCAGGAAATGACATTGTTCATGGTAAGCTATCAAGAGGAAGTGTTCCAGTAAAAAAGGGGGTCATATAACCATGATTATGACCAGTGATGGGCAAACTCCAGGCATTTTGCAAATAAAGTTTTACAAAACTTTATTCAGTCATGAATTATTCATGGCTGTTTTCATGCTACATGGCAGAGCTGAGTGGCTGTGACAGATACTGTGCGGCCTAAAGTGTGTAAGATATTTACTATTTGCCCTTTAGGGAAAAAGTTTGCTGACCCCTGGTGCCAGCCTCTTTATGTTTAAATTGTGGTACCTTCTCTCACTTTATGATCTTAGAGCACAAAGTACACAGATTACAGGTTTTGTGAGGATTAAATAAGTAAATACCTAGGTGCCTAACTCGCATTCAGCACTTGAATGATTCGTCATCACCACCACCACGACACCACCGTCACCAACACTACCACCTCCACAACTATAACCACCACCACTACCATCACCACCATCACCGCCACCACCACCATCATCACTGCCACCATCACCATCATCACCGCCACCATCACCATCATCATCACCATCATCACCATCATCATCTGCCTATAGCTACAAAAGACAGTCTCATCGGTTTGGGAATGTTACAAGAATGCACTTTGCAATGGGCATTTAAGAATGAGAAGAAGCTCATGAGGCTTATAAATAGTAGAAGAAAAAAATTACATAAAAGGAAGAAAAGTGAGAATGATGCTGCTGTTGTTCAGTTGCCCAGTCCTGCCTGACTCCTTGAGACCCCATGGACTGCCATATGCCAGGTCTCTCTGTCCCTCACTATCTCCTGAAGTTTGCCCAAGTACACGTCCATTGCATCCAGCCATCTAAATCCTCTGATGCCCTCTGCTACTTCTGCCTTCAATCTTTCCCAGAATCAGGGACTTTTCCAATGAGTCAGCTGTTTGCATCAGATGACCAAAATACTGGAGTTTCAACTTCAGCATCAGTCCTTCCAACAAGTATTGAGGGTTGATTTCCCTTAAGATTGACTGGTTTGATCTCCTTGCTGTCCAAGGGACTCTCAGGAGTCTTCTCCAGCACCACAGTTTGAAGGCATCAAGACTGGAGATATCAAGGGAACATTTTGCCCAAGGACGGGCACAATAAATGACAAACAGTAGAGACCCTAGTAGATGCTGAAGAGATCAAGAAGAGAAGGAAAACATACACAGAAGAACTGTATGAAAAAGATCCAGATGAACTGGTGACGACGATGGTGTGGTGAACCACCCAGAGCCAGACATTCTGGAGAGCAAAGTCAAGTGGGCCTTAGGAAGCACGGCTGTTAATAAAGCTAGTGTATGCGACAGAATTCCGGTAGAGCTATTCAAATCCCTAAAGGATGACGCCATCAAGGTGCTGCATTCAATATGTCAGCAAATCTGGAAGACCAAGCAGTGACCACAGGACTGGACAAGGTCAATTCTCATCCCAATTCCAATTCATCCAATTCAGGGTAGTACTGAAGAGTGTGCTAACCACTGGGCAGATGCACTCATCTCTCATGCTATTAAGGTCATGCTGAAAATCTGGCATGCCAGGCTTCAGCATTATGCGAGCCAAGAACTTCCCGATGTCTAAGCTGGATTTAGGAAAGGAAGAGGAGCCAGAAACAATATTTCCACTTAAAAAAAATGCCTTAGGTGGGTATTAAGTTCTACATTGTCTAAATAATTACATAAACATAAATTTCTTAACCCAAACATAAAACCAGAATTCTTAAAAGTTACAAACAGAATCTACCCATCATTTTTATACTTAAGCACTATAGCTGACAAATGTATTTAAAGCCAACCTATTGAAATGGTGATTACAAATAAAACTACAAAATACATGACAAAAATATAGTTTCCTAAATATTAATATCTTTACATACCTCCTGCTGCTGCCTCCACTTGCTGGGTGGGCTCGAGCATCAAAGCTGATCACAACACCTCTTTGCTTCAGGTCACTGAATTGCTTTTCCAGGTACCTGCAAAATCCCTAAAAAAACACCCCATGAATTAAAAGACTATGTATGTTTTAACACTCTAAACCAAAAGCTGATCAAGTTTTCTCTGCTTTCATAAGAAAACACTGTAGCAGGAGAGAAATCCCTCAGTAACTAAGTGAACTGTACAACAGGAAAATAACAGCTTTATTTTCTATCTGTATGTATCAGGTACTGTGCTGGACACTTAGTATTTATTATCAGTAATCCCAGATCAACTTGGCCAAGAAATCCCATTTTACAGATGGAAAAGCTAGAACTTTCAGTGACTGGCCCAGTTTCAGATACACAAATAGCAGAGCCTAGATTTGTACCTGCAAGCCATGAAATTAAAAGACGCCTGCTCTTTGGAAGAAAAGCTATGACAAACCTAGACAGCATACTAAAAAGCAGAGACATTATTTTTGCCGACAAAGGTCCGTCTAGTCAAAGCTATGGTTTTTCCAGTGGTCATGTATGGGTGTGAAAGTTGGGCCATAAAGAAGGCTGCTGCTGCTGCTGCTAAGTCGCTTCAGTCGTGTCCAACTCTGTGTGACCCCATAGACGGCAGCCCACCAGGCTCCACCGTCCCTGGGATTCTCCAGGCAAGAACACTGGAGTGGTTTGCCATTTCCTTCTCCAAAAGAAGGCTGAGCACTGAAAAACTGATACTTTTGAATCGTGGTGTTGGAGAAGACTCTTGAGAGTCCCTTGGACTACAAGGAGATCAAACCAGTCAATCCTAAAGGAAATCAACCCTGAATATTCATTGGAAGGACTGATGCTAAAGTTGAAGCTCCACTACTTTGGCTACCTGATGCAAACAGCTGACTCACTAGAAAAGACCCTGATGCTGGAAGATTGAAGGCAGGAGGAGAAGGGGATGACAGAAGATGAGATGGTTGGATGGCATCACCAACTCAATGGACATGAGTTTGAGTAAACTCCGGGAGTTGGTGAGGGACAGGGAAGCCTGGCATGCTGCAGTCCATGGGGTCACAAAGAGTCAGACAAGACTGAGCGATTGAACAACAGACTTGTGCCCGGGTCTGGTTAGAGGTGGTTAAGTGCTAAATTAAAAGGTCACAGAATCTGCAGGCTTGTACCACCACTTATGAGCAAATGACAAGTTCTTTAATCTCTCAGTGCCTCAGTTTTCTCTTCTGTAAAATGGGAATAGTACCTACTTCTAAGGACTGCATGAGGACTAACTGAGTTAAAACATGCCATGTGCTAAGAACCCAACACCAAGGATGCACTATGTGTTTGCTCTTATGAGCATCATTTTTACTGTCATTTTCCTTCAAAGCTTGCACCCATTTTATACAAATCTAAAATCTCTGAGGACAAGGAGGTGTTTCAGATATTTCAACCTGCTATATATAAAGAAAACTAAAAGAAATCCAACACAGTAAGATTTTGACATTAACAGATCTAAACTCGTTCTGTTTGTGAAATTATTTTCCAGCAGACAGGTCTTAAGGAGGCTCTATCAGTCCACTATTATACAAATAAAAATTGTGCAGAATTTGGGCTATTCCCATCCACCTAGAAATGGTGGAACACACAATTCCTACATCTTAGTGGGTGCAGTAACATCGCCTCAGTCTGAAATATGGACGATTAGAAAACTGTGAACTTTGACTTCAAGAGGTTTCGATTACTGGACAAAGTAGGTTTTATTACAGAACAAAAAGAACTCTGGTTGATTGGGTTATAATCATGGTTCATATTACTTATTTCACTTTGATTAAAGGAAGTCATAAAATGCAGTGTAACTCTTGTTTTTGGTAGGGCAATATTTCATAGCTTTCAGGGTACCAGTTTAGAAAGCCTTGAGCTTTTCTTGACAAAAATACTGCACTGGGCACATCTTCTGAAGCTTCTGAGGGAGACAAAGTAACAGGCACACATGGGAGTTGTTTCTGTGGGGTTCCTAGGAGGTACGCAGATGCTCACACTCCAAGGCTTCCCGCAGTGATAGTGCCCTCTCTCTGGCCCTGGTGGGCCCCCGAGCTACGGCCCCAATGTTCAAGAGGGTCAAAAGCATTCAGTTCAGTTCAGTCGCTCAGTCGTGTACGACTCTTTGCAATCCCAAGGACTGCAGCACACCAGGCTTCCCTGTCCATCACCAACTCCCAGAGCTTACTCAAACTCATGTCCATTGAGTCGGTGATGCCATCCAACCATCTCATCCTCTATCGTCCCCTTCTCCATCTGCCTTCAATATTTCCCAGCATCAGGGTCTTTTCCAATGAGTCAGCTCTTCGCATGAGGTGGCCAAAGTACTGGAGTTTCAACTTCAGCATCAGTCCTTCTAATGAACATTCAGGACCGATTTCCTCTAGGATGGACTGGTTGGATCTCCTTGCAGTCCAAGAGATTCTCAAGACTCTTCTCCAACACCAGAGTTCAAAAGCATCAATTCTTCGGTGCTCAGCTTTCTCTACAGTCCAATTCTCACATCCATATATGACTACTGGAAAAACCAAAGCTTTGACTAGACAGACCTTTGTTGGTAAAGTAATGTCTCTGCTTTTTAATATGCTGTTTAGGTTGGTCATAGCTTTTTTTCCAAGGAGCAAGCGTCTTTTAATTTCCTGGCTGCAGTCCCTGTTGTCAATGATTTTGGAGCCCAAGAAAATAAAGTCTGTCACTGTTTCCATTGTTTCCCTGTCTATTTGCCATCAAGCGATGGGACCGGATGCCATGATCTTCGTTTGCTGAGTGTTGAATTTTAACTGAGCTTTTTCACTCTCTTCTTCCACCTTCATCAAGAGGTTCTTTAGTTCCTCTTGCTTTCTGCCATAAGGGTGGTGTCAGATACTTAAGACTAAGATACTTTAGACTAAAGCATTCAGCCTTAGTCTAAAATCCCTATTGTCTTCAAACGGCTCTAAAAAAACTCTAGGGCCTGTTGAGGGGGAGCTCCTGAGGGCACAACTAAGAAGGTGGGATGCTTTTTCCACGGAAGAGACCCACTGAAGGATCAAAATATTATCGTAGAACAGAAGAAATACCCTTTATATAGCTTCCAAAGGTTAAACTACAACCAACATGGAAAAGCTACAGAAAGACAGGTTTGGCTCAAAATAAATAAACCATTCTTAAATGAGAATGATCCAAAGATAGGATGGTTATTTCAGAAGACAATGAATTCTCCATCATTGACGTGTCATGGCTCAGTCAAGGAACCTAACAGGAAATGATAACCTCCATCAATGAGGCAAACAGTACAAAAATTTCCCTCTAGTCCCCATCCTGTTTCCCACCGGGATATTCCTGACTCACATCCACCAGCTTCTTAAGTACAACCAGATGAATCTGGGGCACCGATAGGACGAGAGTCCACACAAGGGACCAGCAAGCAGGGAGTGTTCAGAAGACTCCAGGCTCCACACTGGCCCATGTGATGCCAAAAGCAGCCGCTCCACTGAGCCCTACCCACATGACAGATCTGTGAGCAAAATAAATGTGGTTGTTGTTTGAAACCACCGTGGTTCATGTGATTTGTTGTACAGTCCTAGTGACAGAGCAGAGGGCAAGCTTATCCATCAGCGTGATCCCATGTTTTCCATAAACTAGAACGAGATTCCCAGGCTCACTTTATTCCAAGTCTTCTCTCCAGAAAGATCTCAGGGAGCCCTACTGCTTAACAAGTATGTGTGGCCAGTGGTTGCCAGGGCAATTCAGTACCTTACGCAAGATTTCTTTCTTAGGATTTTGCTAGAACATGCCCAACCCTGTCTTTTTAAGTACACGTAAAGTACACATCATCACCAGTAGTTAGTTTTCCCAGCCTTTTCTTTTCCAGACTAAAATGACCTTTATTTTTAACATGCCCGAGCAGCTGAAGAAACAGAACGACCTGTTCCAGTTCATTTCCCTCATAGACAGAACTCTCAACACTCTGCGGCAGCTCTTTTGTCAAAGGCTTCATCTTTATTCCTAAAAGCTGAACGTAGCCCCGATAGTAAAATTCACAAATAAAGGCAAGGAAACTCAGTAATAATTTCTACCTATACTATAAATAAAGCCAAACAGAACTAATAACTCTTGATTATTCTGGCAGTTAAAAAAAAAAGTTTCAACGCTGGTATCTGTATAACCATCACAAAACATGAAAACATAGAAGTCCGTTGGTTTAGTTGGTGGATTTGCACTGGAATGAAGCACCATGAGGGAATCTGTTTCAGTCATTATTATATCCCTGATGTCTGGCACCTAATAAATCTCTTTGAAATGAATAAATGAATGAATGAATTTCAAAACAATGCTGCTTCCACTGACTGTATAAGCCTAACTTTATGGAGTAAATGTGTGACACCCTGTGTCCAGGCAAACCCACCAGTTTAGTCCATAATGAAACCAAATTAGGTCTGTCAAATACAAAAGGTGCCTGGAGTTAAATTAATTAAATGAGGAGGCCATTGGACTGAGGTGGTTTTAATGCCCTAGGAGCCTACTAAGCAAGCCAAAACCCAACCTCGTAAAAGCCTCAGGGTGAAGAATTCATAACTTAAGGACAGCCAGTCACAAACAGACAGCTAAGCCTTCCCAAACATGGCATCCACTTGAGCTGGAGCCAACCGATGAATTTCCTTCCTTTTTTCCTGCCACTCCTCTATAAAAGTCTTTCCCCTGGATCCTGACAGCGGAGTGTTCTGAGAGGGAGCAGCCTACGTGACCCTAAAATACGTCATTCTTGCACGTGGATCATTTTGAGCTGAGACAATCAAGGCTGGTAGGCCGAAGAAAAACTTTTACCTCTTCCTTAGCTAGCTAAAAGAATTCAGAGATGGAGCCTGATGCTGAAAGAGAGCTATTACCAGAGATAACTTTAAATCTGAAAGACCAATCTGTATGGCAGGCAAATATCTACCAAACATCTCCTTTCCTACTGTCCTACGGACAGTATAAAAAAACATATATATATATTTCTAAGTATATATATATATACTTGAAAAGTCCTTCTCCTGTCATTCTCCATTTTGAAGCTTCAAATGCTAGATTTGCCCTAGGGTCTAGCCCCTGCGTTTATGGGGCTCCTATATGTATATAATTAAACTTGTTTACTCTTGTTAATCTGTCTTATGCCAATTTAATTAACAGACCAACCAAAGAATCTAGAAGTGTACAGAAAAAATATTTTCTCCCCAACAGTTCCTAACTACTTCTAGTTTAGAACTGCTTGATTTGAATAGATTTTTGCTCAAATAAATTCTTAAAAAATTTAACTGCTTCAGTTTATTTTTTTAACACTGGGAAAATGTTAAGAATTAAGAAATATAAAAATGTGGTACCTGTGTCGTCTGAATGATGGTCAAGTCATTCATATGAGAAATTCCTGTTCCCATAGCAGCTCGGAGGCCAGCTGTCCCAAATTCCATTCGAGCGCTAAAACATTTTTGTAGTTCCTCTGTATTACCTGCTGCAATGAGTTGTTTCACTGACTCCAAAGTTAAAGGATTCTGCAAAACAGGAAAGTATATACCAGATATTGTCAGGTGAAGAACATAATGAAAAAGCTGAAAAAAAAAAACCCAACCAACCAAACCACAATAATTCTAACCTACAGGAGAAAAAAGTATATATGTAAGTATTTGAAAAGAATATATATATATATATATACACACACACACACATACATATACGTATTGTTATTGCTGTTGTTCAGTCGCTAAGTCATGCCTGACTCTTTCGCAACCGTGTGGACTGTAGCCCACCAGGCTCCTCTGTCTATGGGGTTTTCCAGGCAAGAATACTGGAGTGGGTTGCCATTTCCTTCTCTAGAGGATCTTCCCAGACCAGGGATCAAGCCCATGTCTCCTGCATTGGCAGCTGGATTCTTTACCACTGACCCACCTGGGAAGCCCACATATACATATACACACACATGTATAGGCCTTTCAGTTTTATGAGGCTTCTGAAAATTGAAATACGAAGTTGGTCTTTTAAAAATTATAATGTGTGATACCGCAATATAGTAAGAAATACATGAGACTTCCCTGGTGGTCCAGTGGTTAAGATTCCACGCTTTCAATGTAGGGGGTGTGGGTTCAATCCCTAGTTAGCAAACTAAGATCCCACATACTGCATAGTGTGAACAAAATATTTTTTAAAAAATTAAGAAATATATATATTTATTGTTCCTGAGACAGTAAAGAATCTGCCTGCAATGAGGGAGCCGGGTTTGATCCCTGGGTTGGGAAGATCCCCTGGAAAAGGGAATGGCAACCCACTCCAGCATTCTTGCCTGAAGAATTCCATGGACAGAGGAGCCTGGCGGGCTACAGTTCATGGGGTCAATAAGAGTCGGACAGGACTAAGTGAGTAACACTTTTGTTCCTAGTTTCTAGCAAAGAGGTCATAAAACCCTTGAAATTCCCTGAATGATTAGGATGAAAGTTGTATCTTCTGTTATTCATAATAAACCTCTTTCATCCATACCTGAGTTTATCCTAATGAGGTGACTACTGGGAACCAACCAAGTGATCAACTGATGGGAACTTTCAACTCCATCCTCCCCTGAATTCCAAGAAGGGGAGGGACTGGAGATTAAGATTAATAACCAGTGGCCAATAATTTAATTTATCACACCTATGTAAAGGCACTGAAGCTCTGCACCTCTTCCCACCATACCTTGCCCTGTGGATCTCTTCCAGGTGGCTGTTCTTGGGTTGTGTCCTTCATTAATAAAATTGGTAATAATAAGCAAAGTGCCTTCCAGAGTTCTGTAAGCTATCCTAGCAAATCACCAAACCCTAGAAGGGGGTCAGGAGACCCCCTGGTTTACTGTTGCTTGGTCAGAAGTACCGGTATCTGAAGTGGGAGCAATCTTGGGGGATGGAGCCCGTAAGCGGGGGTGTCTACACTAACTCTGGGTAGTTAGTGTCACAGTTGAGTTAAATTGACACCCACTTGGTGTCCACAGAAAAATGAGAACTTGTTCGCTGTGAAAAACTCACACATTTTGTGTCTGAAGTTTTATGAGTACAAGGAAATCGGTTTTCCTTTACAATGTAAGTATTATTTTCTTTCCTACAAAGGTAAGCACTTTTGGAGAAACGGGATGAATACACAGGTTTTGGGGTCTAAGACTCAGAATGGAATCCCAGCCACATCATCATTCACCAAATTTATACTGTTGGGCAGATTATCTAGTTTCTTGAATTCTGAGTTTCTTCATCTCTAAAATATGAACAACCTATAACCTTCCTTACAAGGTGGTTCTGAGGTGGTTTATATTAAATTAACATAAAACACCCTTTTCTGTCTGGCATCTAGTAGTAATCAAATGTTCATTTTCTTCCCTAATATCTTCAAATTTTCCCAGAGTGATAAGCTTATATAATTTAAGTCAAAACACTACCTTGGTAGTGTTTTGGTCTTTTAAAAATTATAATGTGTGATACTGTGATATAATAAGAAATACATGAGACTTCCCTGGCAGTCAAACTTGAATCTTGCACTAACTACAATAGGCAGGCAACTAACAAAAACCCCATTTACAAATGGAGAAGCTTCAGAAATAATGTCTTGCTTAAACTGTGTGAAAAGCATTAAAATTTAGTACCTCTTCTGTTACATTGACTGCTTCAAATGAACATTCACGTGAATCATTCATTTTTTTCATACAACAGTTACAGAAAATGTTAAGAATGGATAAAAATGACAATTATATTAATTTCACATCAAACTTTTAAATTAAGAATTCAGGGTAACAAACTTTATTTCTATCTTCCAGCTATCATCTCAAGTAGATAAACATGCAGGCAAATCGTGGCCACATAATTAAACTTTGAAATGCTACTGCAATAAAACACTGGCTTTCTGGAATTAAGCCCACACTTCCAGATTGTTCCAGATTCAACAGGAAACAAGTAAAAGCCCATCTTCTTAGTTAAAAGCAATAGCCACTGACCACAGAGCACAAGCTGACCTATCAGGCTGTCAGGTGCCCCCAAGTTAGGGCTCAGATCTGGAATGTAAAAGAGGTTCAATGGATTTTTGCAGAGGGAATGAGAACACAGACTTCAAGGTCATTCTCAATACCCGGCAATTCTTTCATTCACAACTTGGAAAATCCTAATTGACTTTCAATATCTCTAAAAGACCAAACAGCCTGAGAGAAACCAAAGGAGGCAGAAAGATAAGAATAAAACATCAAGAGGTCAGTCAAGATCAGAATTAGGTGTGCAAATGACACGTCTGTCAGCGTCCAAAGGATGGGGGTGGAGGCACAGTGGAAATGCTGGAGGATACTAGCTGGGTGCCCTGGAACCCCTGGGGCAATCAGACAAGAGGGCTGCAATGCTTTTAGCTGGCTGGAAGTTCCCTCTGGGTGCCTGTCTCAAGTCCAAGGAGAAAAGAAAGGAACAAGAGGAGTAGCAGAAACTTTAAAATGAGGAAAACACCCCCTCACCTTTAGTTATCTCAGTATACACAGATAACATTTTGTAGAAACTGGATTTTTATTTCTTCAAAGGGAAAGTTTTATGAAACTAATTCATTACCAATTATGGCTTTAAAAGATTTCTACTCACTGACAGTTACTGAGTTATCAGAAATGGGGACCTTTCCCTCCTCCAAAGAATTACAAGAAAAGGAAGTTGCTCATAGCACCCAGAAACAGTCTGTACTGGCATTGCCTGCGCAGGGGCCGGAGGGTGAAGGGGAAGTCCTCACTGACTCAACATCCCCGGCCTCCACCACTGCGCAGGCCTATGGACCACGCAAGTTAGTGAACAAGTGGGCAGCACCTGCTACGTGATTTGCTGGGGCCCAGTGCAAAACAAAAAAGGGACCCTTTGTTCAAAATATTTTTAAGAATTTTAAAGTGGGACAGAATATTAAACCAAGTGCTGGGCCCTCCTAGGAGAACAGGTGTCGTGCAACCCAGTGAATCTCTTGTCTTTGAAGTCAGCCCTGGAGATAGACATTGATAAATAAAACCACAAGCAAGTTTTTCTGTTTTTGGCCCATCTCTGTAAGAGGTACGAGGGAAAAGAACAGTATGTTTAAGGAGAGTACTAGAAAGAAATAATTCAGGTGAATAAGCCACGTTTAAGTTCAGACCTGAAACATGAGTAAGGACAGGAGAAATAAGTTAAGCAGAAGAGGAAACTTCCAGGAATGCAAACAGATGCAAGAGAGGGAACAAATGGGAAGTGAGAGACCTAGGTTAGAAAGGAGACTGGGAGTGGTGTCTGGAGCTGGGTCCCTGCTCCGACACCTCAGAGTGAAAAGCTAGGGTGCTGTGTCCAAGGGGCTCCCCATCTTCTTCCCAGCAAGAACGCCAGAAGCCAAGAGGGCCCAACAGAAGGCACCTCTATCGGCAACCAAGCGCCTGGGAAAGCCGCTCCGCCAAGTCCCCAGGAGCCCGAGGAACCGGGAACAACTCTGGGTCTCTGGGGGATGCACCGCCCACGGCAGAGGGCGAGCCCGCGGGCAGAGGGGCAGGAACCCGCGCTCGCCGCTGTCAGACGAGACCCCGGAGCCCGGCTCGCTCCCCGACTCCCGGCCCGCAGGACGGCGGGTGCGGTTCCGGGACGACCCTTCTGGGCCAACTTCGAATGGGCCACAAACCGGCCACACGGGCGAGGCCTGGCGGCCGTCCCTTCGCCTTCGGGCAGGACCCGCTCGGGCCCGCGAGATGGGCGGGGAGGGCCAGAAGCACCGTCACGCGTCACAGGAAAGGGGACCCCGCACGTCTCCCGGGCGTTCCCGGCCCCAAGGGACCCCTCACCTTGTCCCATCTTAGCCACCGGGCCGTCTCCTGGTCCAGCCGGGAGTCCATGCCTGCGCCGCCGCCGCCCGGAGCCCCCGTCCCAGCTACGCCGCCGCCGCCGCCACCTCCACCGCGCCGCCGCCGCCAAGCTCTGGAGGTGGCGAGACTGTACTTCCGGCGGGGCGGGGAGAGGCGGGGACCTGGCGGGGAGAACCGGCTCGGGAGCCACCAGCGTCCGGCAGGAAAATGACGCTCTCGGCCGAGGAGCACGCCTCCTGGCGGGGTGCCCGCGCGCCTGGGCCGGGGAGAGGGAGGCGGGGCCGCGGGATGGAAGCCTGGAGGTGGAGGTGGGGCTGCCGGAAGGTCTTGAGGTTACTCCTACTCACACTTCGGCCATTCATTCAGGTCCTAGTGTGCTCCGGGCACCGGGTCAGAGCCGGGATCCGAGCACCCGTAAACCCAGTTCAGTTCAGTTCAGTCGCTCAGTCGTGTCCGACTCTTTGCGACTCCGTGAATCGCAGCACGCCAGGCCTCCCTGTCCATCACCAACTCCCGGAGTTTACTCAAACTCATGTCCGTCGAGTCGGTGATGCCATCCAACCATCTCACCCTCTGTCGTCCCCTTCTCCTCCTGCCCCCAATCCCTCCCAGCATCAGGGTCTTTTCCAATGAGTCAACTCTTCGCATGAGGTGGCCAAAGTATTGGAGTTTCAGCTTCAGCCTCAGTTCTTCCAATGAATATTCAGGACTGATTTCCTTTAGGATTGACTGGTTTGATCTCCTTGCAGTCCAAGGGACTTCCAAGAGTCTTCAGACTTATAGATCTTCTTTAGTCTATAGGTTCTTACTAAATTTCCTTGTAATTTATTTGTTGAAGGAACTGGATTGTTTGTCCCATAGAGTTTCCCATAGTCTGGATTTTGCTAATTGTATCTCCATCTCTGTTAGCGTGTTCCTCTGTCTCTTATATTGCTTGTAAATCCATCACATTATAATTTTCACTTTGTCGTCTCTTCCTCACTAATCTCCTTGAAGAAAAGAATGGTGTTTTATCTTTGCCTACCCAGACCCTAGCAGATTCCCTGGTGGTTCATTGGTAAAGAATCTGCCTACAATGCAAGAGAAACAGGAGACATGGGTTCAATCCCTGGGTTGGGAAGATCCCCTGGAGGAGGAAATGGCAAACCACTCTAGTATTCTTGCTGGAAAGAATTCCCGTGGGGTCACAAAGAATTGGACACAACTGAGCATGCATGCTGTGCTATGCTACCCAGAGTCTAGCACTGTAAGTGCCCAATAAAAGGCTGAAGAAATGAATGAAGAAAAGAACAAGAGACTTCTTCCCTCAGTAGAAAAGGGAAAGTTCCAGGATCAGGACTGGCCCTCTAGGTTCCATCCTTTGTTCTTTGAGGGCCTTGAACAAGTCGCTTAAACTTTCCTGGACTCAGTGTCCTTATTTCTGAAATGAATGCAATCATAGTGTGCATCTCTAATAGTATGGGACTTACATGAGGAAATACATGTAAATGCTGTGCCTGGCATGGGGTAAGCCCTCAATAAATGTTAGCTATTATCATTGAGAGTTTTTTTAGCATGACATTCTGTATTAGTCAGTACAGCCCAGGCTAAGCTGAAGTAATAAATTAATCCCTGAACTTCAGTATTTAGTGAAACAAAGCTTTGTGTTTCTTGCTCATGTTCATGCTCAGGGTGAGTTAGAGGATGCTATACTCCACACAGTCACTTGGGGATCAGAATGTTTCCATCTTGTGGCTCCTCCATCCCAAGAGGTGGCCTCTGCCATCACCATGAAGAGTGTGGGAGTCACTCACAGCTCTTAAATGCTTCTCCCTGAGAATGGAGTGTGTATCACTCCTACTGATATTTTATTAGCTAGAACTCATCATATGAACCCACTGAACTGCCCTCCCCCAGATATCCCAGTGCCAAATATCCACATGTAACTCAGGCTTCTGTTTAATTATCCCCTCATTAGAAAATCTGTCCTCTGTAAAGAGCTGGTAAATGTTTCACATCTAGCTCTCTGGGATAAAAAGCCCCGATTTTTGTTAATAGTGTTTGTCAATTTCTGCAGTGTAAAGACATCCACTTTGGCTGTTTCCGTGCTACCATCATGATGTCCCTGAACAAACAGCTAGGAGGAGGTGCAGAGTTGCATGCCATTATGTAATGTTTCCAATGCACAGATAGAATACATGTAAATAACTTAAAGAACATAAATAGTAGCAACAAGTAGTAAAATCAATAGAAAATGGTGAGTTTTGAGTATTTATTACATTTTTATTATAATGTATTTACTTGGAAGTTTGTAACATTTAAATTTTAATGATGGCAGTGTTTAATATCTGGCTAGCAAAATTTCTAACAATTTGCTAGTCAGCTCTGATAAACTGTCAGGACGTATCTTGCTTCTCCTAATTGGGATCTGTACCTCTCTATCATCTTACTATTTTATTTTTCAAAGTGTTTAGTACTACCTGCCATGGTATTGTAAATTTTATTTTTAACAGTATCTGTCAACCATGCTATAATGTAAATTCTTTTTTTCTTACAGAGTCCCCAGCACCTAAAACAGTGCTTGGCTCATAATAAGTGTTCAATAATATTTATTGAATAACAAATCATTGGGTTTCCTTACACTTTATGAAGAAAAAAGAAAAATGAATATAGCAATAAGATAGAGATACTGCACTGATGCAAACTTTTTCTCTAAAATGAACTAGCATTTCTGAATTTAACCAAGAAGAGTGAACTGCTTGTCACTGTTCTCTAGGGTCCTGACTTCAAGACTGATGAGAAAAGGAGTAAATATGTGTCAATAGACTTTATCAGTATCCTCATTACTGGTCATAAACTCCAAGTACACCAATAGCAAACATTTCTGCAGACCAGCTGGAGTTTAATTGTCTTTCTCAGTGAAAAAATGCAAATATCTCTTTGTTGCTCAGTTGTTAAGTCATGTCTGACACTTTGAGACCTCACGGACTGCAGCACACCAGGGTATCTCTTATTTATGCCTATCTTCATTAATAAATTCCTGAAATTGGCTCATTTCCCCCCATGACTCATTTTAACAATTTTTTGTGATTACACCCTCAGTAAGCCTTCTGATCATTAAGCTTAAGGCCAGGGCTGGCTAGTGTCCCCTCCCCTCAGCGTCCTCTTTCTACTGCTCTTTCCTCTTTCTGGCTCTCACTTGACTTTCCATGTCCCTGGCCTGTCACAACCAGATCTCAGGGCATAAGTCATCGTTCATGTTAGATGGTTGATGACTAGTTCAGCATCACCACGTCTTTTGGCCTCAGGTCTTTGGATATTTGACTAGGCCCTCATGAGCTGGTGAACTTAGGAAAGCACTGTCACTGATGTGCTATGTGCCTTGGTTTCCACCTTAGTCAGAGGAAGAGACCCCTGCCCTCAGCGTGTGTGAGGGTGAGTCCTCCTCAGAGATTCCTGCTTGAAACCTTCAGTGTCCTCTAAGCTGTGAGTATTCTCATTCCACTCAGGACCAATCCTTGTACTAAAAACTGCATCTCTGGAAACTGTTACATTTAAGAGACTAAGTAGGAAGGGAAAGTTTTTATTTTTATTTTTCTCCTGAACAGCCCATAATTACTGATGTTTCTGAAAACCACTGTTTGGCTACTGAATATTCAGCTTTTTTTAAGTTAGAAACCAGGGACTCCTTAGTTTTTGTTTGCTGGTGCTAAGTCACTTCAGTCGTGTCCGACTCTGTGCGACCCTATAGAAGGCAGCCCACCAGGCTCCGCCGTCCCTGGGATTCTCCAGGCAAGAACACTGGAGTGGGTTGCCATTTCCTTCTCCAGTGCGTGAAAGTGAAAAGTGAACGTGAAGTACTTCAGTCGTGTCCGACTCTTGGTGACCCCGTGGACTGCAGCCTACCAGGCTCCTCCATCCATGGGATTTTCCAGGCAAGAGTCCTGGAGTGGGGTGCCATTGCCTTCTCCAAGTTTTTGTTTGGGTAGCCACTAAATTATTATGCACCAAAGGAAGCTGCAGATACATTGCACTTTTCTTTTCCAACAGGATTATTTTTACAACTGCCTTCTCACCTCAGGTATTTCTAACTCTCCCTGCATTAATATGGACTTTAGTTTGTACTTCTTGAAGCAAACAGTATCAGAAAGGAGACCAAGGGTATATTGATAAAAGTAGTACTTGACCTCAATAAAATTATATTGCAAAGATAACACATGAATCATAATTTAATTTAATTTAATCCAGCCTTAAAGTCCATAGAGCACCACTGTGCTTAGCTCCAGAAAGATAATTTAAAATCTGTAAACTTTCCCATTCTAATCACTCTGGTTTTGATCTAATCCCACTCTCTTTCTTCAGTGATTTGAGCCCCTCTCCTCTTCCACCTGTAGAGATTAGATTTTAACTTTCAATGACTCGTCCATGCCTTTGCTTATAGAAAGATCATCCCTCCACCCTTTCCTAATGCGACCTGTGGGGACTTCCTGTTGGAGGAGAAACTTCCCTTCCTCATCAATGTGAGGTTTGGCCATGTAACTTGCTCAGTGGAACGTGAGGAGACAAGACATGGGTTGCATTTGAACAGAAATTTGAACAGGCATCATATCTTTCCGGCAGCTCTCTTTCCCTCTGCTGCTGAGCAGATGTTCCAAGCGGTTCTGCTCCTTCGGTTTGCATCTGGGGATAAGAAGCCGCCATAGTGGGTCACAGCACCTGACCCATCGCCTGCCACGTAACGTGGCCCAGAGCGAAATATTTGCAAAACAATGGGACTTGTGGGGTCATCTGCTACTGCAGCGAAGTTGACTAACCCAGCCTGGAGTGGCTTTAACCTGCTTTGAGGATGGTTGGAATAAAGGAATGTTTGGACTTAGCCCTTCTAATGTTTCTCATACCATATGAAGACAAAAATTTTCAGAGAAAGTTCCCTAATTATACTGGACATTTCCCCTGGGTCACCAGCTTGATGAGGGACAATCAAAGCTTTTAGCCTCTTCTTAATGGTAAACAAAATGAAACCAAGCCAAACCACAATGTTTCTCAACAAGCTCCAAGCACCATGTGCCCTAAATAATTGAAAAGTTTTAACTATTAAATTTTTCATGTTGTGCTTTTC